AAAGCGCGCAACTACCAAGGACTGGACAAACATATTAATGGTAGAGAGATTAAAACGCTATCCTTAACAAGTAGAGAGGAAGCACTTATAAATGGAGTGATTTGTATAACCAATTGCTCCCATCTAAAAATTAATTACGATTTTTTTTTTAAAACGAGGGGCATGACTGTTTTAACCTCGTTGACTAAAATAACAAGAGTAAGCACTATACAACTGGGCTACTGAAGTGCCAACAGCCCCCCCCCCTCCCTCCTCAGGAGAAAATCAACCAAAAATCGACCAGACGGGTGAAGGCTTAGCGATTCAGCGGAAATATTTTGACTGAATTTATTTCTTCCAAGTCAAATCGTTTAGAATTCCAAATTACCTTGGTTGCCTTGAGGTCACTCTCTAAGCTATGTCCCACCAATATGGTGTCCTTATGAATCATGCTCAACAACACAGCTTGTACTTCCCGAATAGTAGTACTCACACCACTTAATGACTCCTCTGTTACTCCACTAAACCTAACAAAGAGCATTTTACAGAAAATCAATATTTCAGCCACGAATTTTGTTGACAGAGTGAAGGGTAGGGGAGAACAAAGCCAACCTTAGGCAGTATTTGGACAATTTAACAACACTTTGGAAAACTATTTACAATTCCTCAGAAGTTCCTCAGAATTTAAATTTCAATTGGACAAACTACCAGTAATGGCGTTCTGTCATATATTCAGCCATGAGACTGTAAAGCTGACAAATGCAAGCGTCAAAAGAGAGGAACTGCTGTGAAAATTTAAGGGAAATGATCAGCCATTGATTGTCGATGTAAAAAGAAGAGGCTGAGCGTAAGGAATAATTAATTCAACTACCTTGTATTGTAGTCAACAATGGGTCTTTCAGGCCTAACAAATGTATCATAGACTCCTTCTAAATTCCAGTTTACCACTGTAATCCGAGTTAGCTCAAGTCCAGCAGTGGTGTAACACTATCAACAATAATTTAACAGTTTGTTAGAACAATTGTTGTTGTAAAGCTTCAACGCACTTTCAACAATGGACAGTAGATGACTTAGAATTTTGATCGCCATAACTGGAATCTAGGGACCTTGGAGGTAGCCAAGAAGTGACAAGAAAGTTGCAAGGCCAGTTACAGTCAAGCGGGGTCAAGCGTATCCCCCAAGATTCCATTAATGAATCACTTAGTTGAAAAATGAATCCGGCGTTAGTCGTTGCCGCAACCAGTATCAAATTCAAATCTGCATTCCTGCATGCGTAATGAGGAGTGAGTATTTTACAATAACTTCTCTGTATTCTGTCAGACAGAAAAAACTTTGAATGGACAATACTGCTTTGAAGGCTTTGCACCAAATTCAAGAATACTGAACCGGTAGAAATTCCATAACTACGTCGCGTGGAATTCCCCGCTCCTTACTCACGCAAGAATGCAGGAACGAATGTGAAATCTACTTTAGAACGGATCAACTTTCGAACAATAAATCCATTGATGGCATTTTGGGTTGTAGGCTTGACCTGGCTTGACTGGAAATTTGTGATTTCAAGACGTTTGTAGTATTGTGTGAAATATTTCTGTAGGGCCTTTGGTAGGGAGTTGAAAATTATGCCATCTATAAGAATTTTTATTCTTAAATCAAATAAAAGACCATTTTAAATAAAAAGTTGAACTCTACTTTATGGACGGTTGCTTAATACGGACACACCTCATTACCGGGGAGTTGAAAATAATTACATGCATTAGAATTATCATTCTTAAATCAAATCGGCTTTGGGAATGTTAGAGGTGTTTAATTTCACGATACAACGTGCTGGTTTATTTCTTTAGTATTTTGTTCAGATAATAGGTGATGTGTATTTTTGACGTCAGAAACATGATTCGTTTAAAATGGAAACAGTGTTAATACAGACACGTTCTATGGACCTTAACTGGGTTTGACTGTATACTGACTAAAAATAAAATCTTAATGCCAATACTGGGTGTAATTAAACAAAAGAATTCACATTCATTTGAGGTTCAAAGTCGACAAAATTAGTTTCTTTTGTTATATTCCCCACTAAAACCCAGAGCCAAGGAGGACTTTCAACAGAATTATTAAGTCTAAACATTTTACTTGTCCACTTATATATGTTGCCTTTACAGATCTATGTAAAGTACATATAATTAACGTTTGAGCTATTTTTTGGCCGATGGGATTCTTTGAGTTGGGTTAATTTTAGTGCAGAAGAATTTTTGGGCATACAGTCAAACCTTCATTACGCCATCACCCTTGACGAATGGTTTATTGACCACTTCATACAGGTTTGACCCCTGAACCTGCGAGTTATTCAAGAAAATGAAGATGGTGTAGGAAAAAAAAAATCGATCACACGACAAGTTGACCTCAGAGGGTCTCTACCTCTTCTTGGATCAAAAGAAAGGAAGTAAAGGACCACTGAATGCCTATACACAGTGTACAAAGTATCTGTTGCACTAGCAGGGTANGGTGATGTGTATTTTTGACGTCAGAAACATGATTCGTTTAAAATGGAAACAGTGTTAATACAGACACGTTCTATGGACCTTAACTGGGTTTGACTGTATACTGACTAAAAATAAAATCTTAATGCCAATACTGGGTGTAATTAAACAAAAGAATTCACATTCATTTGAGGTTCAAAGTCGACAAAATTAGTTTCTTTTGTTATATTCCCCACTAAAACCCAGAGCCAAGGAGGACTTTCAACAGAATTATTAAGTCTAAACATTTTACTTGTCCACTTATATATGTTGCCTTTACAGATCTATGTAAAGTACATATAATTAACGTTTGAGCTATTTTTTGGCCGATGGGATTCTTTGAGTTGGGTTAATTTTAGTGCAGAAGAATTTTTGGGCATACAGTCAAACCTTTATTACGCCATCACACTTGACGAATGGTTTATTGACCACTTCATACAGGTTTGACCCCTGAACCTGCGAGTTATTCAAGAAAATGAAGATGGTGTAGGAAAAAAAAATCGATCACACGACAAGTTGACCTCAGAGGGTCTCTACCTCTTCTTGGATCAAAAGAAAGGAAGTAAAGGACCACTGAATGCCTATACACAGTGTACAAAGTATCTGTTGCACTAGCAGGGTATATCTTGTCAAAGCAACTGTTTATCTTGTAACAGAGGTAAAGACAATAAAAAAGTAAGTAAATGTTGTTAGAAAAGGTGACCCTGACTGCTTAAGGGAGGTAACCACTTCATTATACCATTGATCACATAATAATTAAAATTAAAATGATTGAAAAGTGAAATGATTTCCGAGACTTTGGTAAGTGATAGCTCAAACGAGGGTGACTGATTAATACAGGTTCACTTATAAATACAGGTTTGACTGTGATAATTATTACCTCTCCAGTTCACTATCCATAAAAAGTCAGCTCAGCCAAGTAGATCAGTATAAATTATATTTAATCTTTTTATGGCTGAGTGAATCATGACTAATGACTTTCAAACAGTTGCATAAAAATAAAAAAAACTGAGGGTAGCTCAAGAGAGTAGTGAACAATACTTGTACCATTTCACAATCCATGGCATAGACCTTTCTATGATCAGACAGGGGACTTCTTATTGTTGTCATAAAGCCATCAGTGTTTCCTTTACCATCACTAACATGAACCTTAAAAAGTTTAAACAAGAAACAACTGAGTTACCAGTAGCAGAACAGCAAAATACACACTGGACAACTCAACATAGCTACTATTGTTGATTAAACAGCCTGTAGTGACGGTTTTGTGTTTTGTTTATACAGTGTACTGTGAACAAATGGCAGCATACAGTTTGTACAAGAGCATACCTACTGCAAAATAGTAAATACTGAATTAAAAGTTATCCTTTATTTTAGTGAGATGGTTTGTCGCTTATATGAAAAATGTCCTTCTTTGGGCTCCCTGTCTACCATTAACATTTACTTTTTGGCTCCCTGTGCATGTGTGCTATGTATTCAAATCTAGCATATGTAATGTTCATCTAACTTGTATCTAGTTTATTTTTTTTTCTTTTATAGCCCCCATTGAAGGTTTGTGTTGCAAACTGAAATATCAGGGAAATGTAATTCACTACTTTATTTCTCTTTTACTTCTATAATTTTTTCCATCACTCCTCCTGTCTTAAGGATCAGTTTACTGTTTTAATTTTAAAATTTGGTACTCAAGATTTCTCTGATCCAGGTCTACTAAAGATCCGGCTGACCCTCTCTAGATTGTCGTTGTGGTTTTGCCTTCACAAGTGTTTCACTACAATAGAGCAATGGCACAGTCATATTGGCATTCAAAACCAATAAGATAGTGGTTATGTTGGTGTTCAAAACCAATCCTGTGGAAGTTGGACTTGTTTCTTACATGAATGCTTTCTCTTGTTAGAATAAACTTCCATACATGCAGACCACGCAAGTGAAAATGTTCTATTATCAATGTGAGTATGGCACTATTTATACTTGCATAGATGCAGGCCAAACACGTGAGGATGTTCTATTATCAATGTGAGCATAGCACTATTTATGCCCGCCTTTATAGCTCTTCTTTGAGAAATATCAGGAAAACAACGTCAAGTCTTACCTTTCCAACACAGCAGCCAGGACTGCCTGCATCTCCCTGACAGCATGAATAACTCTGTTCCCCTGAGTAAAATAACAGAATCATACTGGTTCAATATCTTCAAGTTGCTGGGAACCTTTCAGTTACATTGTTTTATTAAAACACACTGTAAGTATGGTAAGTGTATTTTATTACAAGCAATTCTAGTTAATGCTTGGCACCGGAAACACTTCTTTCTAATCTTGAGTATAAACGTCCCCTTCACTCATTAATCCAACTCTACTGGTACATAATCTAATAGTGGTGTACAGCCCAAGATTCCTTTTTCATTTTATATCATACAAGGCTAATCTAATAGGTTTTATCCAAAAAGCAATTTGAGTGGCCGTTAGTTACCTCTTCTCCGATATAGTTTTCCACCATGATAAATACAGTCTTCTTTTCTTAAATACTCTCCATCTTCAAGGACAACATAGGGCTTACCACAGCGACAACATATCCTCCTTGATGCTAAAGAATCAAAGTTATTAGAGATGTCAGAACAACAGTCAGCACTTGTCCACTAGACACTAATATTGTCAAATATGCTTTAACTTTTTCACATGGTCAAATTAAAGCATCCTTAACCATGTTGACCGTTCAGAGCATAAAAACTCTATGTCTTACAGTCTTTAGAAGGTGACTCCTTATTAGCTTTGAAAACTGCTTTTCCTGGGGTTGACTGGCAAGGCCGAGGATAGCCATTTTCAACTAAATCTTCCTCGCTCATCAGGTACTTGGATAGAAAGTCATACATCAACTCTTCTGTAAATGTAAAATAAACCAAAACATTTAATAATAACACAATGCTTCAGCTTCAGTCCCTTGCATGAGTAATAATATAATAATCCTGTCATTTACCCTCGGCAGTATTTATAGCACTAACACTAGTGGGCCAGAGCAAATGCCTGAAACAAAGAATTCAATTGAACTTAACAGGGTTAAGAATCCAAACTGGCCAGAGGCAAACTAGCTGGCTACTTACAAGCATGGCCAAGGATTTGAACTTAGGACTACCATGAACAAACCCAGCTAACGGTAAGAGCGGGACTTTGAATTCAGGGCCTCCAAGTTGCCAGTCCGGCGCTCTAACCACCTGGCCACGGTGCCTCCTCCTCATGGGTACAGTTGACACCTGGAAGGGGGAGGGATACTACCACATATGGGCTACATAGGAACATGTATATATGATATGAAATAAAGCAGTTTAGTCTGGAATAGGGTATAACAATTATAGAGTTTGGGTCTATAAATAATTATATGTTAAAGAAACTGATCAAGTGGCTCAAGATTTTAGTCTAGACTAGGAAACCCGGGGACTATCACTCACNACGAGAGGTGTTTTCAAAAAAAAAGTGGCGCTGGGAAGGGGGGGGTTTTGGGGGTTTTCTTTTGACAAGGGGTAGAAAAATTCGCCTGACTACATTTTACACCTGTTTAAAGGTTCCCAAGTTCCCTGGTTTGGGGGTAACCCCCCCCCCAAAAATTCTTTTAACCAACCCCCCCCCCCCCCCACCCCTCCTAGAGTTGACTCTCACTTTGTGGACACCTTTTGTCTAGGCTTCTAAATCCCCAGCGAAGAATACAATAAACAAATAATGATATAGGCATTGGACAGAAATGACCTTCTTCTACTATGGTCCTGAGGATGTTCATACAATGGGAATTGAATTACTGTTGAACTGTTGAATGGTTAATGAAAGTTGCAAACAACTCAGACTACAGTAATGACAAGTCTTGTTAACTTTGATTTGATATTTCCTGCTTTTATTTGGTGTTTCCTAAAAATTTTGGGATTGTAAATTTACCCCATGCAAACACTGCACTTTTAAGCCTGGTTTTCACTACTGCACAAGCGTAAGCACAAGCACAAGCACTTGTGTAAGCAAGTGAAAATACCGGAAACACACAGTAAGCATAAGCACAAGAAAAACGGACATGTTCATTCTTCTTGTGCTTATGCTTATAAGCACAAGAAGAATGAACGAAGAATGATGCTTCTTCCGCTATCTTGTTTATGCCCCTATGCTTATGCTTTTGTGCCAGTGAAAACCAGGCTTTACAGGTTCCTACAGAACCTGGGTAACCTGTGGTATGATAGACTGCAGTGATAGCCACTTATCCAGCCTTTCTAGATCTAGCAACGGCAGGTACTTAAATATGTTTATAGTACAATGTAGTGATCAAAGATCGTAAAGACTTGCACATTGTTGGACACTCCCCATCGCCGCGCCAAAAATAGCAATTTATAAAACTGCGCAAATCAAACCATGTATCAAACCTGTAATTTTCAAACGTGTTCTATTGCTTGATGATACACTCTTTCTTTCTTCCTTAAACTTATACACAGCGTGCGAAAACAGCACAAAAGATAAGAAGAGAACCGCTAAAACGAAGCAGTAAAACACCGCGTCAAAATCAATCATCCATAAAGGCATGGCTGCTGAAGAAATAGCCGCACTCGTCTAGAGCTTGGTCCTTGAGATCAACACAAAGTGAAAGTTCTTCTAAGGCAGCCAGAGGCCGTAGAGGCATTGTAGTGTATTCTCAATTACTCTGCTTAACTTCAATATTTCATGAAAAGTATGTTAAAACAATTTTGAATGCCACAATGCCAGTTGCTTGCAGAAGAAGACATTTTTCGAAGAAGTGCGAAACAGAACTCTCGAAACAGGTTGAGCCGCCATCTTGGGATTCCGAAGCGGGAGGAGGACTGGAGAGAGATTCTCTGATTTCTCCAAAGACATTCGCTTCTCGTTTCCGGTTCCGGTAAGTAGGTCCGTCAGCTTTCCCCGCTTTCCCGCTCGCTTTTCCACCGAAAACATAAAAAATTTCTAGCTTACGCTATGCGCTCGAGAAAAAGTTTGAGCTCCACTTCTGGGCAAGTCTAGGAAATCCCTATTAAAAATGGATTGGCTACATATTTTTTGCAGGAAGACCGCTTTACCCAAATGCAGTGAAATGCAATGGTCATGACTCATGAAAAATTCAGATCTCCTTGAAATACTGAAAGTCACTCCGCTGAGCTCTTGTAGATTTCAAACTCAAAACAAAAATCATCGAAACTCAAATGACACTAACTAAAACACTGTCATCGTCATTTTGGCAGTTATTTATTTGCCCTTTCACAGACTGAATCATAGAATAATTATACCTGGGCAGCACCTCTCAGCAATCCCCTTCGGGAGGATAGACCCTAAATTTTGGTAGTGACGTGACCGTAAGCGCTCCGTCCGCACCACAGTATAACCACTGTGAAATGACTTTTTAATATGAGTCGAACCTGCGTGCAACCTGACGGTGTACTGTTTCTTGATGATAGACGTCCATGTTACGGACTTTTAGACGGAAAAAAAATACAAAAAAAAAACAAAACAAAGCCGCGCCAGTCTCATTTTCGACCAGGCTCACGCGGATAACAGAGAAAGAGCTAGAGCGAGAGATAAAAACAAACAAACAAAGAAGACAAATTTCGTTAGAAACAAAACATAAAAATTTTATAGCGGTGGTGAGAAAATGAGAAATGTTAGTGGCCAGTAAACTGAACATGCGCGGCATTGAAAAAGAAAGCGAAAAGGAAGCCAAGCAGCCAATTTTTTGGTCAGAACATACGACATTTCCTTCGTGAAACATGTACCTAGAAAGTTTCACACTGTGGTCGTGCAACAACAACGGCAAAGAAAAGTCCAAAAAAAAGTACGCTGCACCTGCAATACTGATTTTTTGCTAATTAGACCTATCGTCGTCGTCGTTGTTGTTGTTTTTTAGCCGTTCTCAATGCCGTCGCCGTTTTGACTAGCATATTTACACGACTATTTTTTGCGTGAGTAAATTTTAAATACAGTAACGAGAGCTTCGCTTTTAGCTCTGGCTTAATCTATATATAGGACCAGTGTGTTATTTAAATTTTGAAGAAGAGATGATCCTTATAATTTTCTTTTGAAGCCTTCTTATTGGTTCTAGTCTTGTCGTGTTTGTGTTTCCCCATGCAATGATTCCATAACTTATATCGATAGATCAATGCGTAGCACGGACCTTGCATAGCAACGCGACAAAGTATACCGGAATTTGAGCAATTTTGCTGCAAACATGACTTATTTGACTTTTCCAGTTAACATTTCCGTCTATATGAACTCCTAAGAATCTGGCTAATTCTACCTGTTTGATAGCTGAACCGTCTAAACTAATGACTAAAATGTTTACATGCGCACGCAAGTAAAATTACGTGCGAAAATTAAATCCGTGAAGGTAATATGAAAGGTTGAACGTAAACGTAAAACGGGATCTTACGATCCGACAACGGCCACGTCCATAAAAACGTCGTTTCAAAAAAAAAAAAAAAAAACTTTGCTTGAAGTGACGTGTTGCCTCATACGGAGGCAACGTGGCCGATTGGTTAGAGTGTTGGAATTGAAATCCGCATGCCCCGACTTCAATCCCCTCCCTAAACATAATAATAATAATAATAACGCGAATAACGCTACCTGGAGTTCTTCTTGATAGTCCTGAGTGCAGCTTACAATACAATACAATACAATATCGCGCTCGTAAATAGCTAAATGGTTTGCCTCCGGCCAGGTAAAATTCTTAACCTCCTTCTTGCCCACAATCCAAACTACTGGTTTTAATATCATAATAATTTGTGTTACCCTTATAAAAGCCTTTTTTATTCCAAGTGCTACGCGGGCTCTTGAATCAAGGGTTCTTTGATTTCAGTGGTTGAATGAAAGAATACACTAAAATTCACTAAACAAATACACTAAAAAGGGCATAAAAAGTAATATAACTTAAGTACATGTCACCGATTTTGACCTGGGGTCATGATTCATGAGCCCTGGTACAACCAGGGGAATGTGTGTTGAGGAAAACCAACAGTAAACAAAGCTATGAGGACAACTTCTTTAGCAAAGCGCATTTCTACCAATTACTACAACTGACAGACACCCATAGAAAAAGTAAACAAATGTAAATGAAGATATGATGTCGCAGTGGTAATTGCAAATTAATCCGGAAAAGATTTCGGAACTTCAACGGGATTCAAACCCATGGCCTCTGCGTTAGCGATGCAGTGCTCCAACCAACTGAGCTATGAAGACCCATACATTGGGAGCAGTTCACATCATCATTCTATAAATAAACAAGAAAATCACTCTTAAAAAGCAAGCAAATAAATAAGTAAAGTCAAAGCTGACACCTGTTAGATCGTTTGACGCTGTGGTAACCGGCTGATCTTGTTTTGCTGGACTCTTTGTGCTGATCACTACTGCTCCTGATGGCAGAGTCTTGGTGACAGCTACTCGCGCAATAGTCTCGGTTTCGACAGGTGAGGTGACTGGCAGCTCCTGTGGCTTCATCTCTCGAAGTTTCTTTATTGCATTCACACAGAGATTCAAGTAAACCTGCCGCCTGGTGCTCCGTTCGTACAAGGCTTGCTCCTCTTCCACAGCCTGGAAAGCAAGTTACCAAATAGTAAATAAATGGAATTGACGTTTTACGGTCTCTCACTTCGACCGTCTTTTGAAACCCTTTCACTACCAAAAACACGCGTGATCAGATTATGAGTGATAGAAGGTCCAAACGCGCGTAATGAAAGTGCGCTCATCCAAACGAATGCTGGCTACATACATGCGACGCATGCGTAATAACAACTTGGAGATTAGGATTGCGGGCTCCTTTTGTCGCCTGCAACTACCATCAAAGCAAAGTTACCTTTTCAAATGCTTCTTTTTCGGTGGGATAGATTCTTAGACACTCATCAACAATCCTGTCAAGATACCTCTGTCTTTTGTTTTGAGGTACCTTAGCACCATATTCTATGGGAATTCTAGGTCTCGGCAAAGATCCAGCTGGGGTGGTGTTCTTTGACACATGTGCAACACGTTTCTTTGCAGGCTTGAAGCTAACGGTGTTGACTGAGGCTTCTGCTGCTGATCCCTAAAACAAATACCACTGTTAAATGACAATGCAGGGAAAAAAGTGGCATTCATTTTGAAAAGGTTGTAGAATGCAGTTTACTGTTCATTCAAAGTATTTTAAACTTCTAATAATTCTTCACAACCGACCAGCGCTTACCATATTTGGATGCAAGCAATACATCATGGAGTCGATGTCATATTTGCTTGAAAACGAGGTCGATCGATGGTATATTTGCGTGGAAACGAGGCTTCATGGGCATAAGAGAACTAAAACAATACCTTTCACGGCTATCCGAAGACGAAATAGCTCAATTTCTGACTACAACTGAGAGTACAACACAGAGCCTCTCTATCCCTTAACTGTTACCTAAAAACACACTAAGTTTTGTGCGAGCACTCACCACGCTCGTTGAAGAAGAACTTGCCGGCTGATCTTTCTTCTGCATTGCTGATATTGTCTTGGGGTACCTTCGGATTGGATTAGCATTAGATGACAATCTCCTTGGTAACTGCAGGGCAAAAATTCAACAAAATTAATTAAGGTGAAACCTAACATAACAATGTATAGAGAAACGTGCGTCAAAATTTTAAGGTTTAGTTCTTTTAAATGATTGCCTCACCTCTGTTCTTAGCATGATAATCATAGAATGATTGATTTTTACACATATTGCATATTACTTAGCCTCCTTTTCTAGAACGAGGAATATTATATTTGAAGCGCGCTAAATGACTCGAAAATAGGGGACTAAGTAACTGGGGCGAAATGACCGGTTACTGCTGTGATGAACAATGAGGAGTTTAAAGGAGCTGAGTCACGAAATTCAGCCTGATTAGGTAATTACAAAATGCCCGTTAAATTAAGAGAAACGTAAAAATAACCGCTTAAAACATAAAAGGAAGGTTAAAATAACACAACAGATACAACAGATGCCACGGATGGGCAAAACTGAAGAAGATTGAAACGGATTGAAATGAGGGTTTTTGAAAACTGTTCAGCCTAACAGTTTTTCAAAGTGTATCTCTGTTGTATGCAACCTCAAAAAAAAAAAAAAAAAAAGCTCAGGAGACATATTTGTTTGTCTTGAGTCTCCGATTTTCTGATTTACATGTAATTTCTTTGTAAGTTCCATAGCAATTGAGGGCGAGTAATTGGCAAAATTAAACAAAATAAACCGGACTGCCGTGACACAGCCCCTTTAAGCAACAACGACGGCGACGGCTACGAAAACGTCAGGGCTTAATAAGTGAAGTCGCGCTGCTTCAAACTCTATCGCGCTTATTCCATCTCATTCAATTCGTCAAATGTTGGCAATATTTTCTGGAGTTGAATTCTAAAAGACTGCATCAAAATTCAAGAAAAGAAATAGAAAGTCGTTGTCTTGTGCTCACTGTGTTCACGTCCTCCAAAAAACTAGTCTGCTACACAGCCGTGTTTAGTGTCGTCACGCAACGCTCCTCCCAAGGAGCGTTGCGTGACGACACTAAAAACGGCTGTGTAACCTGAGACTACCGAAAAACGTGAAATTAGACAGTTTCACGTCATAGTCGTGCACTGACGGTAAAGAAATGTACAAAAAAGCGTGATGCACGTGCAAAGTTGTTGTTTAGCCAATCTAAACCAATTGCCTTTTTGCCGTTCTCGTTGACCTCGACGTCGTTGTTGCTTAAGTTTCCTAATATCATACACTAAGCGCTTACAGTTCTTTGTAACAAACCTGTCCAGGTTCGTTGTGGGTTCTGTACAGTACCGCGATCATTTTAGGTCGAGGATCACTTGCGGTCCGTTTTGGGGATCATTTGCGGTACTGTTCAGTTCTCACCCTGGCCCTGAAAGATCATACATCTAGTTTTCCCCTTACCTCAACAACCAAGATATTAGGGACTTTAACCCTTTAAACCCTAAGAGTGATCAGCATCAAATTTCTCCTTGTAATAGCAATGCTTTGTAAAACAGAGTCGTCATGAGAATTAAGGACGTGATTACACAAGATGTGTTTGTTTGGTATTTTATCAACTTCTCCCCACTACTTCTGTAGTAAATGAATAGGGGCGATAAAGGAGAATTTTAATTTTGATCTTAGGGTTTAAAGGGTTAAGATCCAACGACGCGAATCGCTATCAACTCTCGCCCACTAACACAGTGATCAGCAGCTAGAGCCCCATTACTTTAAGTCTGCAGTTGGGGAATTGAACATCTAGAGAGTTATACTGGTTCCATTTTCCTTTTGATTTCCTGTGAGGGTGGCCAGGGGTCTTGTTCTTAGTAGGGTTCTTTGGGAGAAATCTCCGACCCCGGCCCTGGGCTCTTAGAGGGGAGTTTAAGCTACACGTATACGGTAAACGGCAAACGTCAGATTCAAGTTGAGAATTTCTCAAAATAGAAAATGAGCAGGTAAAAACAGCTCAAAACAATTCTTAAAAAAATGCGTGAAGCTATTAATTTATATGTAGAAATAATGAACAGTAAACGATAAGTAAAGGGGAAACTTAGTCACGTGTTACAAATTCGCGTTTGCCGTTTGCCATAAACTTGATGCTTAACCTCTCTATAGACAGACCTACAAGGTCAATAGATCATTTAACGTTTCCGGGAATCTGCTCACCTACCCCTCCCCTAAGCCAACATTTTGCCCTACGTGACAAGTACAGTCGAACCAGTATTAAGCGGTTACCCTCGGGGAAAGGCTAAGTGACCGCTTAATACAGAGTGACCGCCTAATACAGGTTGCAAGAAATACAGTTCAAAGAATTCGATCTCCAGTGCTGATCAGATCAGACGTTTGACTTCAAATAGAAACATTCATTTCCGGCGTTTTAGTGATTTGCGAAAATAAACAAGGGAATCAATTGTTGTACCTCGTCGGTTACAGTATTTGAAACTGTATGAACAAGTAATACGCCACTTCTGAGTTCCAAAAACCCTTACTTTAAAAACGAGNTCTTAGTAGGGTTCTTTGGGAGAAATCTCCGACCCCGGCCCTGGGCTCTTAGAGGGGAGTTTAAGCTACACGTATACGGTAAACGGCAAACGTCAGATTCAAGTTGAGAATTTCTCAAAATAGAAAATGAGCAGGTAAAAACAGCTCAAAACAATTCTTAAAAAAATGCGTGAAGCTATTAATTTATATGTAGAAATAATGAACAGTAAACGATAAGTAAAGGGGAAACTTAGTCACGTGTTACAAATTCGCGTTTGCCGTTTGCCATAAACTTGATGCTTAACCTCTCTATAGACAGACCTACAAGGTCAATGGATCATTTAACGTTTCCGGGAATCTGCTCACCTACCCCTCCCCTAAGCCAACATTTTGCCCTACGTGACAAGTACAGTCGAACCAGTATTAAGCGGTTACCCTCGGGGAAAGGCTAAGTGACCGCTTAATACAGAGTGACCGCCTAATACAGGTTGCAAGAAATACAGTTCAAAGAATTCGATCTCCAGTGCTGATCAGATCAGACGTTTGACTTCAAATAGAAACATTCATTTCCGGCGTTTTAGTGATTTGCGAAAATAAACAAGGGAATCAATTGTTGTACCTCGTCGGTTACAGTATTTGAAACTGTATGAACAAGTAATACGCCACTTCTGAGTTCCAAAAACCCTTACTTTAAAAACGAGGCTAGGTGCACAACCTTTCTTGTGAAAAATAAGTTTTATTTGCATAAAAATGAAAAATGATTTCCATATAAAAGGCTGAACACCTACCCTCGTTTTGAAACAGAGGCCCGGGAGAACTCGGAAATGGCCTTATTGACAACGTCTGACCGTTTAATACAGTCAAGACAATAGAAAAAGTCCCGTTGGGACTTCGCAAATGGTGACCGCGAGCGCTTAATAGACGTCGAAATTACAGTACTTCAAGGGAAGTAATTTTCGGGACTTTGAAAACTGACCGCTTTATAGAGGGTGACCGCTCAATACAGTGCCGCTTAATACACGTTCGACTGTAAGTGTTAATGTTGGCTTAGGGGAGGGGTAGGTGGGCAGTTTCCCAGAAACGTCTAATGATCAAGGTCAATTAAGCAAAATTGCATTACTGTTCACCATAACAGAAGCCCTGCTACTTACATGATTAGCTGTATGCGCCACACGCTGCTTTTTCCCAAACCCCAACGTATCTACCATGGAAGGCTTCTCCTCAGATGCTGTCGCTGCTGCAACTGCTGCATAAGTTTTCTTCCTCTGGACCTCAGTTATAGTTTGCGTTTGGCTTTTTACTGGTGACTCTTCAACCAATTCAAAGTCGGGTTCTGGATCATACTCATCCCAAATCTGTTTAAGATGACTTTCTTCTTCAGAACTTGAATCAGCATTTCCTGTACTCAAAGCATCACTGTCATCGCTTATCAATATTGTAACACCTTTAGAAAACTTTCGTTTTAAGTCTTTCCGCTTATCCAAACTTCCGGTCTCCACCTTTGCGGCTCTAGCAGTTTTAACTGGAGATAACATTTCTTTACTTTTCTTTGGTCTTTCTGCTTTGCTACCTTTTTGCGCCTTTTTAGATCCAAAGAAATTTATTTCAGCCTCGGATATCACCTTTTTCTTCGCAGCAGGTGAAGTTTCCACAGAATCGTCCTTCATAGAAATCTTTCTTTTTAAAGTTTTAGCACTGCCATCAACTGGCTTTTTCTTTTTTGGTATAACATAGGGCACTTCTAGCACTGGCGTGTCTTTACCAATCAGAGACATTTTGGTAGAACATTCAATTTCCTGAAATGATTTCGATGCAGACTTTAAAAATTCATCCAGTGCAGTACTAGGTTGTTGTTTGTTACACACTTCACTCCCTTTCAAAATTGCTGATTCCTTAACTTTTTTAGAATCCTTTGATGGACCAGCAGATACACTACCATCTGTAACACAAGTTAAATGCAATGATTTCTTTTTCTTACTGACTACATCTGATAGGGGTGTCTTGTCTTGACATTGTACAGCTGAAGGCTTTGTTGTTGTTGTTGTTGTTGTTGTTGTGGATGTTTTAAGAGGAACAGATTTCCTTCTTTTTGGTATTTTATCAGTTTTTTCCTCAGTATTAGCATTTGCATTTTCCCCAGAGATAGCAACATCATGTTTTTCTGCCATAAGAGTACAGCTTGAATCCACATGCATTTCAACTTCCATTTCCTCTTTCTTAACTAACGCTTTATTTGTTGTATCCTTGGAAATCTCGACTTTTATTTGTACATCGTTAGAAGTATCAGTTACATGTAAGTTCACATTCATAGCCTTTTCACTGCAGGCAACAACATCTTTGTTCTCTTTGTTTGTAAGAGCAGAAATACAATTGTTTGAACTTGAAGGGCTACTACATGTAGAATCTGCAACTAGGGAATTTTTCGTTTCTGGACTTCTACCTGATCCAGAGTCACTGCTTATACTGGGTGGGTGCGTCATGAGTCCAATAATCTGCTTCTCTTCATCGGTGAGAGATGCTACAGGCTGTTCCATATCATCAAATGACTCTGTATTACTTTGTTCAGTTCTCACTGAGTCAGCCATGCTTGTATTTTTACCTTGTTTGGGTCTTGGTGAATCTCTATGGTTTGACTGTTTGGTGATTTCTTCACCTGACTTTTTCAAAATGCTTTTAATGGCTGTTGTTGTTGTTGCTGATGCTGTCATCGTCGTTGTTGATGTCTCAGGTTTGCCATCCTGATGAACAGAACCTCCTGCCTTGATGTCAGAAGAGGGGCCTTTAGATAACAGTTCCACATGTCCTGCAGAACGATGCTCGTCTGTTTTCAGCTTGTGAGGGGAGATTTTACTTTTTGATGCCTTTAATCCTGTTGCAATAAAACACAAAATCTCTTTTGCTTTCCACCACAAGCAGACCCCTTTATAAAGCACTGAAGCAATAAAAATTTTCAACCTCTAATTCTCAAGGGCTCCACATATGTGGGCATTTCATTTTCAGAAGAGAAAATTTCCCCAGTACATCTCATCCATAATGGGGTCAAAATAAAAATGCCAAAACATCCCTTCTTCCCTAGCCTCCCACGCAAGCGTTTGTATGGGAGCTCGCAGTTCGTCCCTCCCCACAAACACCTGCTCAACCGAGAACAACATTCCTTTCCCATTGTTTTATTTGTGTAGTAAGTGACCAACCAACAAACACGACTCATAAGCTCATGGTAGTGTAAAAACGTGACCTTTGAGTTACCTTTTTCCTTCTTTTCTTGCCTTTGCTAGGGTTATGCTGTGCACAGAGTTTTCTAAAATCTAAATCTTACTTTTGCCACTCTGAGTCTAATATTTACTATTAGAGGTCATAAAGCTTTCCCAGTGTTTCATGCAGATCGAGTAATTATCGGGTTTCCCTGTGGTCAAGGTCAACCTTTTGGGAAAGGAATGTTGTTCTCAGTTGAGCAGGCGTTTGTGGGGAGGGATGAAATACGAGCTCCCCTAAAAACCTCTGCGTGGGAGGCTACTTCCCCCACCCCACCCCACCCCCCCCCCCCAAAAAAAAATCAACCCAATCAAAGCAGAAGCATATAACCCTGAAGCATCTAAATTCTCCTTATTATCTATTAAGAACCATGCTGGGTTCTTTAGCTGTCTAATCAGAAGCAAGAAAATTTTTTTGCCCAATTATGAGGTAATATGGAATCAGAATCAAGAATTGAAGGTACATGTATCCCTGTCTAAGAAGTAGCTAATAATGGATTCCTCCTAGTCCTTGACAATTCTTCAATTACATCCCTACATGTAACTTAATAGCATTCCCTGAGCCATTAAGATAATCAACTGACAAAAATATTTACATTCACAGGGAGTAGCCAATGAGTGTGCATTCATTTGTGGGCACTACACTATGCGATGGCGTGTATGAATTTTTTTTGCAAAGACTTTCGATTAGTGCTTTCACATCTCAGTGCACATTGTGATACATTTTATGTTTTTCTGACTGGCCTTTGTCCAGTGCTCTTAACCCTCGGATGTACACTCAACGTCATACCCCCACGGTGGTAAAGGGGGTGGGTTAATGGAACCCCCCCTTGAGTTTTTGATATGTTGCAGTATTTTGAAACGATTTTGCCTTCAGTGGAAAAAAACCTTCGATCTTCTCTATAGTATGAGGTATATTTTGTGGGTGGTGGCGCTGCTGGAGGTCTGTGACGTCACAAAAAAACACATAAATGATTCCTTTTCATCATTTTATCCACAAACTTTACTCAAAAATGGCTTGACCACCTGCCACTTATGACGTAATATCTTGTAACCAAAGTAACTGACCATCACTAAACTTGTCTAAAAATGCGCTTAAAGGATAAATGAACAGCTACAGAAAACTTCAGGTGCTGATGTTTTATCATCTAGGAAAAAAAAATGAGAAAACCTTACAGGGGTGGGGGGTGGGGGCAACCACAAACCAAAATTGGTTCTCAAAAAAAAAACAGCACTGGAACAGAGTTATAAGCTTCAGGGTTATTTGCTTCTGATCAAAAGTTATAATGCCTGCAAAACAAAATCCAATATGTGACCAAGCTCTAACATAGCAAAAGTGTCATTACAGATACCGAGTGCACACATTTACACGTGGAACATAAATACAACAAGGACCAAGAGACTGGCAAAATTTGTTTGCTATATCGAGGTTTCATTAAATCAAGGTTTTCTTCCTTTTTTTCATACATTTTACTATTACTGGGCCAAAGAGAGTCATTTGTTATACCAAGGACTTCATTAGAGTTTTGTTATAAAGGTTCCATTGAGGTTCCACTGTAATCCACAATCCCTGGCCTTCCAGGGATAACTACAATGAGAAATCCCAGCAACCCCCAAAAACTACAAACCAAAATTGTCTTACCCCAAGACCCAGTTGTTCACAACCCCCGTTATCAAACTAATCCACAATTAAGCTTAATAGTGGGTTACATTTTATTGCTAACACCTGATTTAGCTAATCAGTGGAATTGAGAGCATTGTGCAAAGCCCAATTAGACCTGCAATTAGTTAATTGCTGATTAACGGTTCGTACTCAGTGTAAAACTATTTATATTGTCTCCCTAATTGACGACTAGCAACCTATAATGAATCTTTCCCTAAGATTTCCAATATGGCATCTGCAGAAAAAGGAAAGCAGATCAAGGTAGCCACAAAAAAATAACAAATTGGTCAGACTCAAAAATAACCATATTGACGGGAAAACGTTGAGGAAAAATTGGACCTCATGAGATCTAAATTTTCCGACAGCATTACTGGTGCAAAGAAGAATGCTACTGAATATACTCTTTGCCATTTAATCTGTAGTGAGCCCGAAGTGCTTGATCGCTATAAGTGAGTATACTATCGTTGTATCGATAAATTCATGGGCATCTTTGAGAGATGAAAAAATATGTCAGCCATTTTGTTTCAAATTTAATCGACCAAGTAGGGAATTAACCTTCCTCGGGAGGTGTATTAAATTTAAGCCACTGATTAGAGTCAGTCCATTAGCACTAATCAGGCTTTGTTGAGTAATGCAATCTAAGCATGGATTAAATTTTAATCGCTGATTAGCATGTCTAATTATGGATTAGTGCTAATGGAGTTTCGAACAACCGGGCCTAGAGCTCCAAAGCTCTAGGTTTTTCTCTGGGGGTGGAGTCAGCAGAGGGGTAAGAGATGGGCGGAGATTAAAAGTTCCCCCCGCCCCCCACCCCAACCCTTTTTGAGCCTAAAACTGAAAAATGCAATAAGACAGAGAGTCGACGTTTAAAGTTTGTTGCTTTCATTTGGGTTAACCACTAGTTATCATGTCACTGATACATACCAATAGGTACAAGCTTGTTTTTCAAAATCAAGATTAATATCATTAATTAGATGATTTCAAAATTCTGCTTCCTATTCCCGCTTTCTGTTTGGAAGAACTGACATTATTGCAAGATAAGAACTATAAATCAACGGAAAATCTGGACTTTATCGCACGTAAACTCTTCCTTTTAAAAAACATGCTGTACGTACCAGGTTTGCTGTGTCGGAAATGACAATATGGCCGGTGGCATAAACCATGAACAAAGAAAGGGCA